ACATTTTATATTGATTGGTGATTTAGCTCTGGGATCTCCAGGCCTAAGGCAGTAGCCCAGTCTCTCCCATGGTTTCCTCCGTGTCTCCAGCCTCACTGGGCCAGGCCAGGCCCCCAAGTGCCTCTTACGAGGATCCTTCCCAGCCTGCCAACCTTCCCAGCCTGTTTATGTGCCCATCACTCGTCTGACTCTGATCCGTCTCTCCTGGTCCCACATCAGACAGCTCTGCATCACCTACTGCATGAGGCCTCGACCGCCCCACCAGCGTGCCCAACTTCTTTCTCCACCTTTTGCTACATCTCCCTTCCAAAAACCCCACTCTCGGCCATCTCACCCGTTTCTTACCTTTGCTCAGTCTCACCAGTCTTGCCCAATCTCTTCCAGCTGCAGACACTTAAATCTGCAAGGTCCAGACCAGGTGCCACCTCCCAGGGAGCACCTGGTCTACAATATCCGATAGACCCTCTTCCTGTCGCAATTCTTAAGGTTTGAGAAAACCAGCACACGTCGGGCCATAGGAATGATGCATGCCACCCTCAGAAAGCCGGCCAGAGGTTGGATTCATTCGAGAAATCTCCCTAGAGAAAGAATGCTTGTGTCAGGTAGGTGCCGAGACCCAGCCCCAGGCCCCCAGGCCCCCAGGCCCCCAGGCCGGCCTGCTCCTTAGAGTCAGCCTCGCAGCACTCAGTGGAAAGGTTGAGAAAGCATGCCTGAGAAGTGAGTCCACAGTGGGATCTATTGAATCTGCAGGCTCTTAACACATAAAGAACAACGGAAATGCCCATAAAGAAGAGTTGTAAATCTGATGTACATAAAATGAGGAGTTTCTCTGTATAACCTTAGAAATATAACCAGTCTGTTTTGCAATGGGGCAGTGATGGAGGGTGATCTCCAAGAGATGCATCCGTGCTTCTGCTTGATGGCGTGTTCACAGATGGGGGGAGTGTGGAGGGGGGATAGGTACGTGCTGAATAGCTTCTTAGGTCACCAGAGGTGAAGAGTATGCTTGTGTGGATATTTGTGTCTGAACAGCTACCTTCATGGTCACCTGCTGCCAAATGAACAGTGAGAAAAAGGAATAAAGGACCCAGCGCATGCCGGGGTGCTGACGTGTCTTGGCAGCCAGGGGTGCATGCACGGAGGAATTGTCTGGGGACATTTGGCTGTTTTGCCTAAGGAATTCCTGGGCTAATGGACATGTGGACCCCAGGACTTGAGGGCAGGCCTGTTTTGGTTTAGCGCTCCCCCCCCCCAAAAGGACCAATATGAATTGGAAATTCTTAAGGTGGATCAGTGTAATCCCTATTTAATTTGGACTTCTCCCCTTAATTCATTTTGCATATGGTAAGACATTCTTGCAAAGGACACAGAGGCCGTCTTACACACGCTGACACACTCTGCACCCAGGGAGCAGTCCCCCTGTGCCTAAGCGAGATCTTGAAAGGAGAAAACCTTTGCAAATCACCCTGTGCAAGTGCAGAAGAGAGCCCTCACCACCACCCAAGCACATTGGTGAGCCAGTCGCCCTCCCTCAGGACTTCACCCACCAGGAGGGTTCCCTGAGAGCACTCAGGTGGAGGTGCTGAAGAGAGACTTAGCATTAATCACAAAGACGTCCTTGCTATTTCTTTCACCTGGTCTTAAATTCTGTTAACTCTTCCTAAATTGTCTGAGGCCACTGCTTCTCCTCGAAGCTCACAAGGCACTGAAGGACAGGCCCAACTGTGTGACACGTGTTGCTTGGCTCATGTGGATGGCGTCCTGCTTAGAGAGATGAGGACACCGTGGCACTTGCCGAGAATGGCCACATGGCCGAGCGGTAGACCATGCCCCTTACAACTGGGGGCAGGCCTGGTTCCAGGGCAAACAGCCCTCCTACTAACCCCGGACATCACAGGGCTGCAGACCAACACCCCTCCCAGAGGCTGGAGGCTCTCAACATGCTTGTTCTCGGAAAGCTCTCTCTTGGCAAAATCCAAGTCACACAGAGGCTTCATTCATTCATGTTTTGATTGATTCATCCATTCACCCAACAACTTTCTGAGCACCTGTCCCGTACCAAGTGTTGTCTGTGCCACAGAAGTGAACAAGTCTGAGTCCCTGTCTTCTTAGAATTTCATTCTAGGAAGAGAGAGAGACAATTTACAATAAATGGATTAGTAAGAATGCTGGATTATTGTGTTTGGTGGCACGTAAGACGGCTTTGCTAAGGATGTTCAGGGAAGGTCTGCTGAAGCATGTGTGTTGAGTAAGAAACCATGAGTGTGAGAACACGTGGCATTACTAGAGATTCAGAGATGGGGCAAGTTGGGTTCTTTTGCTTTTCAGGAGACCACAGTCATGGACGGTAGACTCCAAACGGTGAGCTGGAAGGAGAACTAAGGTCTAAGAGTATAGATGAAATCCAGTGGGTGCTCTCGGGAAGAAAAGCTTGCATCTAACTGAAGGCAGTCAAAGCCATTTCTTGAGGGAGTTGATCTTTGACCTACGGTCAATTCTGAGAAAGGAGGGTCACGGCATTCCCAGCAGAAGGAACAGAGTAAGATCCTGTGCAGAGGCAGATACAGGGCATGCTTAGGGGGCAGCGTGCAGTTTGACTTGGCTGGAATATCAAGAACTAGAAAGAAAGTCCTGGGTGCTACAGTGGAAGGCAGAGGGAAGCACCTGATGGGTGGCTCCTACACTGACATGCCACCGGGGGCAAACGACGGCCTCTCTGGCAGCCCCGGGGAACCACTGTGGACGGCAGTGGGGCGTAGCTACGGCTGGAAGGAGCAGAGTCCCAGCCGCAGCAGACAAGCCACATCCTCACCTCCCCGGACAGAAACAGAGCACACCCACCACAAAATCAGCCAGCCGGATTATTTCTTACCACCAGCTAAACTTCGGTTTGTTGTTTTCACCAGGAGACCTCGGACGGAATATGCAAGAATCCTAAGCCTCTCCTACAGGGAGCACCCAGGGGGAGGCCGGACAGATGGGCAGGGGTGCCCCCCACGAGAACAAGCCCCAGGGAGATGCAACCGAGTATGTGGCCAACTTAGCTGGTGAACCAGTTCCAGTTGCAAAACTCCAGTTTTTGCAAAAAAAAAAAAAAAATTGGTAGAAAAGCATTGAAAAGTCCTTGACATCAGTGCTTCTCCAGTCTTCCTAGAGCACCTGCAGTGCAGTCGCTTCCGTCAGAGTGTGGGCTGCGGGCGCCCCTGACCGGCCCCTGACCAAGCTGCCGCCTGGTGAGGTTTGCTGACGGCCACCCTTGCTTCTCCGTGGGGTGCCATCTCCTCTCTGGAATGCTGCTTCCTGGACTGTTAAGTGTAAAACCCCAAATCCCTGTGCTGTCAGTGCGAGCAAGCAATGGCCTTCCTGCCGAGCTTCGTAAGGGGGGCGCTAAAACCAAGAGAGGAGGGAGGCCCCCAGAAGAGGAGAGGGGGCCGGGAGCAGCAGGTGCATGCAGTGTGTCAGTGAACAGCGAGGCGGGCTTGGGGCGGGGCTCCTGGGGCCGGGGTGCACTGAGGGAGGAAGCGGGAGGAGGAAGCAAGGGGCTCCACTGGCCCCGGGCCCGACCAGGGGGTGGCGGTCGGCGTGCAGGTGGGGTGCTCTCCGCTGGGCCCAGGGGAGCGCCCCGGCAACAGGGTAGGGACAGCTGCTGGGGTCCACCCCAACACTCACGCGCCTTTGCCGCCAGGGCGTGAGGACAAGGAGGTCTGGGCCCCCCGAGAAAGGACCCCGAGACCAAGAGAGGGGGCGAGCAGGAGAGGTCCACGCCCCCGCCATCCCGCAGGATGTCCCTCCTCCTCCTGGGGTGAGTAGCCCCCGGGACTGCGGGCAGGGGCCGCTGGTCGCGTGTCCCCAGGGGAAGAGTCCACGAGGCAGCTGCCAATTTTGAGCGTTAGGGCCTAGAAGGGCGGGTTGACGTGAGCGGAACGGGGGATCCGGGAAGAGCGAGGCTACGGCTCGAAGGAGGGCGCGGGGGCATTTCAGGAGCTGAGAAAGGGGCAAGGCTAAGAAAATTGACTCGAGAGTAAAAAGAAAACGTGCACATAACACACGTGTGCACACGCGCGCGCACACGGGAGGGGGAGAGGCAGCAAGCCGCCTGGGGCCAATGGGCAGGACGGGGCACCAGGGGACACCCGGCTCTGACAGCAGAGAGCTGTGGGTGGGACAGGTGTCCTCCCCTCACCTGGCCTGGGGAAGAACCAGCTCCCCGCCGCCCGGCCCGCGCGGGTGCTGCTCCCCACGCTGTGGCCCCGCCGGGGCCTCTGTCCCCACTATTTAAATTAGCGCCCACCCACCGGCGTGCGACATCGCAGGCAGTTCGGGTGCCGTTGCACTCCTGGGTGGGTGAGGCCTGCTCCCTGCAGACCAGGTTTCCCATTGGTTATGCTGTCGGGCTCCTGGTGGGCTGGTGGCTCCGGGAACAGAGGTCCTGTCGCCGGGCTGCAGACAGCCCCCGTGGGCCGCGGGGGAGCACCTGCTGAGTGATCGAGCAGGATTTACCAGAGGACAAAAAGAAGATAAAGATGAGAAACGAGGGGGATCCCTGGGTGGCTCAGTCGGTCGGGTGCCTGCCTTTGGCTCAGGGCATGATCCTGGAGACCCGAGATTGAGTCCTATGTTGGGCTCCCTGCATGGAGCCTGCTTCTCCCTCTGCCTGTGTCTCTGCCTCTCTCTCTCTCTCTCTCTCTCTCTCTCTCTCTCTCTGTGTGTGTGTGTCTCTCATGGATAAATAAAATCTTAAAAAAAATAATAATGAGAAAGGACAGGGGCACCTGGGTGGCTCAGTCGGTCGAGCATCTGCTCTTGGCTCAGGGTGTGATCCCAGGGTCCTGGGTTGGAGCCCCGCGTTGGGCTCCCTGCTCAGTGGGGAGTCTGCTTCTCCCTCCTCCCCACCGACCCCCTCTGGCTCTCTCTCAAATAAATAAATGAAATTTTTTTAAAAAATAAGAAAGGACAGAGTAAAATTTGAAATTCTTTTTCTTTTTTTCAAGTCCTCTCTATGCCCAGCGTGGGGCTCGAACCCACAACTCTGAGATCAAGAGTCACACGTTCTACCCACTAAGCCAGCCGGGCACCCCGTCAAATTCTGCTTATACCAGGAATCAATATAATAGGCGTTCTCAGCTAAGGTCACTCCAGGCTTTTCTCTGCGAATGTAGACGGACTTCCATTATATAATGATCACTTTTTCTTTATTGAGAAGTGCGGAAACCCATGCATGGTAGTCAAGGTGGCTGGTCCAGGTCTCAAATGATAAGAAAAAAGCAAATATTCATTTTATTGATATCGTGGCTTTGGGTTATTTCCTCCCCTTTGTGGGAACAAAACTGGAAGATCGCCACCTGCACCTTTCTTACGTGCAAGGTGACTTTTGTCGATGCCGGAGCCCGGGTTGTCCCGGAGCCCGTTTGGATGAGGCTGGTGTTGGGGGCTCCAGGCCACGCCCTGCTGTCCGCCCCGGGAGGGCCTGCGTGCGCCAGGTGCTCTCCCCAGGCGTCGGCCCACCTCTTCTCGGTGTGACCACTAGGTGCATACTGGACAGGCAGGTGCTGGGCCGCAGGGCGCCGCGGGGCCTAGCCAGCCACTCACCTCAGGACTGCGGGGCCCTGGTCTGGCATAAGACACCGCACTACGTGTTGCTCCGGCTACTAAAGCTGGTGCTAGTGCCCCCTCTCCTCAGGGAGTTTCGGGGCCATGCGTTCCCAGATGACCCCCCCCCCCAGCTCCCACGGATGTTAATAAGGGACATGTGACAGAAACCACATGCTGTGCTTGGAAAACGTATGGGCTGACCCACACGTCCTCTCCAGGGAAGAGAGAGCTTTTACTCCTCCAGGCAGTCAAGGACAATGAAAACCAAATGCGTCCGCGTTGCATGCAAGCCCACATCCACACACACACACACACACACACACACACACACACACACACGTTCTGCAAATATTCATTACGTGTGATCGGCCAAGGGTAGTCCCTGCTGTTGAATTGGAAGCTGGCTGCTGGTTCTATAGAAGGCAGGATGCGAGGGACTCCAGAATTTCTGCACACCATGCGCCTTCCCCGCTCTTATGGCTGGAGAACGCTGCCTTCATCACCGAGCCGCACTCTGCGGGAGAACAGCTGGTGGCACACTCCGCTGACAACACGTCGGATGCATGAAGGTAGCGTGCGTTTCCAGCTTGGAGAATGCGCTTCGGATTTCCTTACAGTCCCCTCCGTGACTCGTCCTCACTGCCGGCTGCTGGAGGCCGCAGGGCCCGGCCGCGCCCCCAGCCAGGGGGTACCACCGGCCCGCCTGCTGGCCCTGCTTCCCTCGGAGGGGCCCTGCCTGCAGCCCGCCCCGGCCCCTCGGATTTCGTCGCACAGAGGGCAGAGAGGAGGGTCCCCGAGCAGGGTGCAGCCAGGATGCTGAGAGCCGCGCATCACCCCCACCCCCCGCCCACCTCTGCAGGTGCCTCTGCTGGCCCCTTCGGCCAAAGCTGGGGGGCGGTTTCTGGCTCTGCTCCTGGTGGAATAGTCGGCGGTACGAGCCTCCGTGGGACAGATTAATAAAAATTCCTTTGTTCCGGCCAAGTCGCCTGACTTCTTTTTACCTCCGTCCATGGTGTCATCGCGGGGCCTCCCGACAGCCTCTCCAGCTCCTGCCCCTTCACTCTGCGTAATCGATGCCACCGATCCGCGGCCCCGCCTTCACCCACTTGCAGTCTGGGTGGCATCACTGACGCCTCTCGCGCGTCCAACACCGAGTCACTTGAGCCCCATCCATTCATCTCCAGCGAAGTCCTAGCATCTCCATCCTTTCCTCCCCCGACACGGGCAAAGTCTGCCTACCTGTTGGCTCTCAGCTCTCGGCTCCTCACGGCCTTGCAACTTCGGTGTTTTCTCCAAAGCAGCGCTGTCTTGCTAAGTAATTGGCAAAGGACATTGCTCCTTAAAATAAAATAAGGTAGAGATGCCTGGGCCGGCTCGGTTGGTGGGGCGCACCCTCTTGATCTCAGGGTTGTAAGCTGGAGCCCCACGTTGGACGTAGAGATTACTTAAAAATAAACTCTTAAAAAAAAAAAAAGGATAACGCCTTCCATGTCTTTTCACCAGTTCCTGATATTTCTTTGAGCCAGCCTTTCATTGTACAATTAAACTCTAAACATAAAAGTTTAACCTCATACTCATTAGGATGGCTTCTTTTTTAAAAAATATTTTATTTATTTATTCATGAGAGACACAAACTGAGAGAGAGAGAGAGAGGAGAGAGAGAGAGAGAGAGAGAGAGAGGCAGAGAACACAGGCAGAGGGAGAAGCAGGTTCCATGCAGGGAGCCTGATGTGGGACTCGATCCTGGGTCTCCGGGATCACGCCCCGGACCGAAGGCAAGCGCTAAACCACTGAACCAGATCCCAGGGATCCCCTAGGATGGCTTCTATAAAAAAAAATCAGAACAAGTGTTGGTGAGCATGTGAAGAAATTGGAACCCTTGTATACTGTTGGTGGGAATGCAAAATGATACAGGTGGTTCCTCAAAACATTAAAAATAGGATTACCATATAATCCAGCAATTCCTCTAGTGGGTATATATACAAAAGATTGAAAGCAGGATCTTGGGGCACCTGAGTAGCTCAGTTGGTTGAGTGTTTGCCTTTGGGTTGGGTCATGATCCTGGGCTCCTGGGATCGAGCCCCGTGTCTGGCTCCCTGCTCAGTGGAGAGTCTGCTTTTTCCTCTCCCTCTGCCTGCTGCTCTCTCTCTCTCTCTCTCAAATAAACAAATAAAATATAAGAAAAAGAAAGAAAGAAAGCAGGATCTCAGATAGATATTTGTCACCCAGTTCACGGCAGCATTTATCACAATTGCCAGAGGGTGAAGGCAACTCAAGCATCCCCCCACGGATGAATGGTGGAAGAAAACGTGAGTACACATCATGGAACACCAGCCAGCCTTAAGGAGGGAGTATGTGCCGACACAGGCTACAACATAGATGAAACTTAACAGCATTGTGCTAAGTGGAACAAGCCAGTTGCAGAAAGCCAAAACCCGTGTGGTTCCATGGATCTATCCAGAAGAGTTAAATTCATGGGGACAGAGAGGGAGGAAGGCCAACGGGGAGTCGTTATTTTGTGAGTACAGAGTTTCAGTTTCTCAAGATGAAAAAGTCCTAGGTATTTGGTGGCCCAACAACGAGACTGTATGTAACACTACTGGACTGTACATTTTAGATGGTTAAGTTGGTGGTAGCTTTGGTAACACGTGTTTTAACAGTTAAATTTTTAAAATAATTTTTAGATTAAGCTTGCATTGTGATAGAGCAACCCGGTTGTCGGTTGTACTGTTTCATGAAGATGAATTTCAGTATTTGGCAGAAGAAGTTAACTTTGTAAACTATGTGGAACTTGTAGAATAACAAAATATAAACTCCAAGGGCAGGAACCCCACCTCTCCTCTAAGAAGGATGAATTAGGTCCCCTGCAGTAACCCTATAACATTTATAAGGTTCTTTCAGATGAAACTTTCCAGGTGAAACTTTGTCCTGTTGTTGACATGACCAAGGGTCCATGTGCTGTACTTGGCACAGGATTTGTAGCAAGTTTAAGTAGCTGAGAACCTAGAATCTCAAGAAGGTAGATCGCAGGAGTACATTTTGGTGCTGGAGCATATAAAAGGATACGAGACTAGTTACACAAATCTGGACCATGCGCTGCCCATTTATCAGGAGACTTTCCATTCCTGCTTCAAAGGAAGAGAAAGAATAATATGAAGCAGTGTCCAGACCATTTTAATAAATACAGAGTTCCCCAAAAGGCCCACCGTTCCAGACCTTACGGCTCCTGCCAAATCCTGTAAAAATAAAGATTAAACTATACGGAATATTTGTTTTGTTCTGATTGTCGTTATTTTGTTTTGGTAATAAAGGTCCCCAGGCTTCTGGCCTAAGAGAGTGCTGACGGCTCTAGCTTTTGATTCCACTCATCTCCTGCCCTTGAGAAGGAATCACTTCTTCCTTGGGTGCCACTGTCTCCTTCTGGAAGCACACACCGCCTTGCTCACAGGGAATGGGACAGCACTGGGCTGCCACGGGAAAGTGCTGGGTTCTAGCGCCAGTGGGCCCAAGTCTCAGATCCCTCATCATATTTTAACAGTTTGTATTTTTAAATAATTTCAAGCATGTGGAAAATTTGTAAGAATAGTACAAAGAACCACTGCAAATCTTTCCCTGGGTTCCTCAATTATTAATACTTTGCCTTTCTCTTTCTGTCTCTCTCTCCTTCTCTGTCTCTATCTGTGTGTGTGTGTGTCTCATATAGTTCCAGTACAATGATTAGAATCAGAGAATGTTCTTTTGATTCTATGTTGCAAATTATTTAAATCGTACAGCTTCACAGTTTACGGTCATCAAGAAGGTGTCCCTCTGCAGAACGGGACAGTGATGATACACTTTTACAATAAGGGCCACGTCTTGTTTGAGGACTAAAGTCACTGTTGGACCATCGCCATAGGGTTAACCAAGGAATTCACAAGTAACCCAAGAGTAATAAGAGAGAGTAGAGAAATGGTCAGAGGAAAAGACCACAGGCTGAGGGTGGAAGCTCTCTGATGCTGGCTGCATGTGCCACCCCCACCCCCTTATCTACACATCCCAGTTGAAGGCTGGATTGAACCTCTTGAAAATACTTTCTGGGGATCCCTGGGTGGCGCAGCGTTTTGGCGCCTGCCTTTGGCCCAGGGCGCGATCCTGGAGACCCAGGATCGAATCCCACATAGGGCTCCCGGTGCATGGAGCCTGCTTCTCCCTCTGCCTGTGTCTCTGCCTCTCTCTCTCTCTCTCTCTCTGTGACTATCATAAATAAATAAAAATTAAAAAAAATGAAAATACTTTCTGTGCTATGACTCTATGGGACATACACTCATTTCTCCAGGAATGAGGACTCCCAAAGGAGGAAAGGTTGAGCTTTGAGAGTTTGAGGATGGAAAGGAGGGAGCTAGACTTCCAGAATTATCATTACAATGTCTTGTTCACCAACCCCTTCTTAGGGGTGTGTGTGTGTGTGTGTGTGTGTGTGTGTGTAGGCAGGTCCTTTCCAG